TATAAATAGTCTTTACTTTCAAAACTAACACTCATTTTGCTATAAACCAATTTGCAGTCTAACATTGTATCATACATACGCTAATTAACATAGTCTACTATTTCTTAACGCATTCATATTACTGTTAAACCGAAACTTATCTCGGTTAAAGTATCATGGTTCAACTAGAAACATACGGTACTAACTAATTTATAGATGTACTTATTTGTCAAATAGACATGTCATAATTCAATTGATTACAATTGTAAGCATGGTTAGTGTTGGACATTGATCCGGATCAATTTAAGCAATCACTGCTATATTTGATAGATATGAGTGGTATGTGAAAACATAATGAAAAGTATTTCATTGTATAAGAGAAAAGATTTGATAAAATGTATGCATTTATTGTAATAAATTGTTGAAATATTAAAGATAATTGTCAACACGTTTTGGTCTTAAAATGTTTGTATCAAATATTTCATTATTAAAAAGGTCTACAATTTAGCTCATATTTACCGGTATATGGGATAACACGATACGATCAACGAGTTGTTGAATGGCTTTTATAAATGCAGTCAATTGTATGAATGAATTGAGAGTGGATTCACTGATTTAGACGACAATTGCCAGCAAATAGTGATTCAAATGATTGCAATTTGCAGACAATTATGAGTAATAATTACGTAATGTTTTACTCGTTGTGTTCACTGTATTTGACGGCAAATGAGTGTTTGCGAGCAATATGTGAGCAAATGTCACAACAAATCACACTCTGATCGCAACACAAATGCCGCGATTTGAGTGGTGATAGCGATTGAGACAACTGTTGAATGAATGGTCAGTATTGATGGCAAACAATTGATGACCGGTTTAGTTGACAACACCTCCACTGCATGTCTGCACCTATCACTCGCAGTCATTGAAACGCATATAACGTGACATGTTTTGTATGAATGGTTTGCTTTGTGTTGCATTCATTAGCCGTTCAAAAGCATTAGTGCATAGATGTGGGGGACGTTTATGTAGACAAATACAACGGTAACGTAGTGTGTGAATGAGATATGAGTTGATTTGTGCAGAGAGTGACCATTGATTGTAAGCTCGAGTGCAGTGAAAGCTGTGTCGACGTCACAGTAATCGGCAAAAGCTATGGCAGTGTGTGAGTGGCAGTGATTGGCGTCACTAATGCGAGTGAATGTATGGGTTGTTGTGTATGTGTTTGAGTGGTGTTTGCGATGAAAGCAAAATGTCTGTCAAATAAAACCAATTTTGTTGCAAAACATTGAGAACATTGACTATCCATTGGAATAGCATTGAGTGCTATGAAGCATTGATTGCAATATTTGCAAATCAACTCATTATAGACAGGCTGTGAGTGTTGTTGAGATTGATTGTGCGATCACTGAGTGCCCGAACCCACGACCCATCGCCAGCGAACACACCAGTCGTCCGACCCTTTCGTATGACTTATCGGTAATCATTTGATTGACGCTAACGTCCGTACATTCAGTCATTTGTTTTGCATATCTATTGCCAAACACGAGCCAAATATGTGAACTCCGAGTGACTGCCCACTAATGACCGCATAATTGGTGTCATTTGCCCTCATGTCACGTGTGTTCACCTCATGTCACCTCTCTGTCCATTGCATCCCTTAAGACACGAGTCCAGTTGATCCCATGTTAGGCCCAGTGTTTATGTCACCACTCCAAGTGATTGTCTGCTAATTACGGCCTAAACTCAGTGCCAATTATTTGTTAAGTTTTTATTATTTGTAATCAATTGTTATCTCATTTGTTAATTCATTGATAATCAAAATACCCATTAATTGAATGCAATTTTTTTTATTGCAAATGACTTATTATTTTAATGTTTTATTGTAAGCCAAATGTTTAACAAATGGAAATTTAGTGCATTTTCTTAGACTTAATATAATGTAAACAAACATTTTTTGTCTATTATTTTGAGAATTAAGTAAACATTTGTCTCGTTTGCCTATCAATTCATATGATTTATTCAATACTTAGGCTTTCACTGCATTCATATGAATATTATTAATATTGTCATATTTTAAACAATTTGAATGTCATTCATATGTGTATTAATTGTGTTATAAATGCTATTTTCAGATATATTTGGTCCATACGATTGAATGGGTGGCAAGAAGTGATTGAAATGTGATTTTTGTTGTATCGTTGACTGCAATGAGAGCCAAATATTTGACTAATAATTGTGTTTTTATTGAATACGAGTTGTAATTAACTGTGAAAT